ATCGTCCAATCAAATAGTAACATATATTTATAGTATAGTAAATGAGTGCTGCAGAGTGAAAACCTGTAACTGAATCTTTATCACTACAGTGATTATTTTATTATATAATATATAATATAATAATCACTATAGTAATAAACTCGAAGATCCAGTTACAGGTTTTCACTCTGCAACACTCAAATGTAATATATTTTAATACTTGCTCCGGACATACAATGCTATGCATTTACCTAGTAATAATCATCATATATTAAAGCTTTTAAATAAAATATTATTTTGATTTCGATGATTAAAATTCTTAACACAGTCTCGACAAATAAAATCTTGGTTGCTTGGAGTAATAACTTGCGTTATAAATGTCACTCTGGTTATATCGACACCTCAAAAAAATAAAATAATTGTTCGATATATCCAGATGTTGGTTTAACCAGAGGTATTTCATATTAAGTATATAGCTTTAAAATTTAAAAAATGTTGGCATATTCAGATGTCGATATAACCAGAGTGACGTGTATATATTTTTTTAGATCTCAATTCTTGTTCATATTGAATTTTTTTATATTTTTTGTCAAGACCTCGATTAGCAAGAACAATCTTCGTCATAAATTTTCATTCAGATTAAACATGTCAAGCATACTGGCATGCGTTCAAGTGAAATCTTAACGTTTAATGCGTTAATATTGTAGTATTGTTCAAAATACAATTGCAAAAAATATCGATATACAGTATATGTCGCATCTGAAGTACGATTTAACTAAAGTAGCTACTTTATATATCGTAAGTAGCGCCCTGGCCAAAATTATAACTTAATGCATGCATGAAGATCTAATTTCAACCAGGCGCTACTTTAGATAAATCGCTACTTTAGATGCAACATATATATAACTAGGAATTGGAAACTGATGTAAGTTCGGAGCATAAATAATAGGAATGAATAGTATTTGTGTCAATTATACAATAAAATTTAGATAAGTATTCGGTTCGGTGCTAAATCAAATAAATTGTGCCGATCATATCGATATTTTAATATGGAATGCATCAAAAACGTAACTTTTGAATCATTGTGCATAAAATTTGAGCCCTCCAGTTACTGATCATTCCAAATCAAAAGTTTATCACTTGTTGAATCAAAAACTTATTGAATCGACAAATAATCATTTGGACAATTTTTATAAAAACAGTTATAATGGTCTTGCAGCTCCCCCGGTGCAATCAACAAAAACTTTTGGGCATTTGAGTGCCTGTGACTTGTTCACTATAACTTATATAAAATTTAACTACTGATAAAAATATAAATATATAAAAATATGAACATATGTACATACATTAAAACATGTATATTTTGGGTTTATTATAATATTAAACATTGATTCTACTAGTCTAACCATAAACAATATAAATATTCATTAGCAAAAAAAAAAAAATTTAAATCCAAAACTTAAAAAATATTTGCGCCTACATAATTATCGTACATTAGTATATATATTGAATACAAATAAAAAAAAAAGAATTTATTCAATTACGTAATAGATTCTATTAGTAAATTCTGTGATTAACTCTTAGATTAAATAAATTCTTTGTAATTCTTATTATTTTTGATCTATTTTGTTAATTTTTTGTTGGTTATTCGAATAAGGTCTTATCCAATACAGTTTTCATATAAATGATTTAGTTTTCATTTTTCAACAAAAGTTATAATGGTTTCAACATCATTTAAAATCGATAATTTATGCAATTATTATCTAGCTCTAAATAATTTTTTTAAAAAAAATTCTACAGTGATCAAAAATATAAATATGTTAAAAACCAAGAAATATCAATTTGTAAAAAGTAAAAACAAGAAATACTAACTCGTAATAAGTAAAAACAAGAAGTATTGATTTGTAAAAGTAAAATAATAAAACTAAAAAAAATATCAATCATAAAAAATTAAACCAGGAAAGATGATGTTTTATTAATACCAGAGTAATGTTAATATCGGAGTGACAATCTCTTACATCCACAGCCAATCCCGTGCCCCAAATTTTTAGTTGGTTGCACTGGAAAAGGTGTTATGTCTACGAAATGAGTGTTGATGAAATGAACCCAAGATTTTGGGATTACCATGTGAAAACGATTATACTTTTGTGAATGAACTAAAAAAAGTTTTTCCGTTTAATGATCAAAAATTTCCGTACAAATGGAGTTGTTCCGTTGGCCGCTATTTTTAAGGGTTCGAGATCATAAAAATTGATTCCATTGATTTGACTCGATTTGGATTAGGCGAATGGAACTAGGAAAATCACTGTTTGAAAGTAAGTGCCAAATAAGGGTTTCCTAGTCCATTCCCCATGTATAAATTCCGAAAAATTGCAGATAGCCGATAGGTTGCTATTAATAAGTAGAAACTTATTTGGATCTGATCTCGATCCGCCAGCCACTAGTCCAAATGGCTATATTTGTGTTAGGGTGATGCAAATCTAAAAAGGAAATTAGGCAATCGGAGAACGTAAAAAACGATTATTCGACACGTGAGCAAAGCGAAAACAGGGGAAAAAAAAACGAAAAAAGCGAAAATACAAGAAAGCGAGCTTTTAAACCCATCTCGGACCACTAATTAAAAATATCGGAATGAAATTTTACATGTAGGAACTAATTATTTATATCCATCGCTTCTAATTTCCTTTTTTTGGGCTTGTATCACTCGCGCAAATAAGTATTTCCAATGGCGCGTACTGTATCACTCGCGCAAATAAATATTTCCAATGGCGCTTACTGGTATCACTCACGCAGATAGATATTTCCAATGGAGCTTACTGGTCTTTGACGGCATTCTGCCATTATTTTGCGGCATTCGACTTTACTAAATGGAGATTCAGTTAGCCGAATATCTATTTGATTGAGTTGAATGCCTAATCATCAAGAAGACTGGTAACAGAATGCTGTCAAAGATGGTAGGCACTCATCACTTCAGTGATCAACCAAACTGAAATAATATGTATATACAGTCAGACCTCTCTATAGTCACCTCATCTATAGTCACATTTGCTTATAGTCACATAAAATTTTAAAACCAACTTATATAACACTTATAAAGATTGACCTCTATATAGGCACAAACTCTCTATAAACACCAAATTCTTAAAACCAAGGGTGTAATTGTAGAGAGGTTTGACTGTATATTGATTTTTCACATTCGGACTAATGAGAGAATCTAGATCGAATCCGAATCCGAATCTTTTGTGATTACTACACCTTATGGAGCGACAAGACGACGTGTATTTGATCACATATAATCATCGTGGGACCAATTTTACGGGAATGAGTCTAGAAGTTGGATAAATGAATACATATAAGTATTCAATTAAAAGATTGAGCTTTTTCATTTTCAGTTGCACTAAATTCGCGGATAACCAACCATGTAAAGTTAATGTCCAAAAATTTACTGCACGTGTAAACTTCATATCATATTCAATGAATATTCCCATGGAGGATCAAGGCTCGTGAAGATTCGCTAAATAACTAAGATGAGTGCCTTTTTCAGATCCAATTCCATAAAGATAACAGTTACAAGTTCCAATATTCCACTTGCGTCCTCCGTCTCGGCAGTTCGATAATAAATGAATCAGATAAGGTGAACGATAATCAATTTACAGGCCTTCCCTTCTTCAATTCCAACCTAAATTTGAACTTAGGTGAGTCAATAATACTCATTTATTAATACCAGCCTATTTCGACGGACTCTAACTCCAAATTTTGGGTTATCCTGCTAAATCTTGGCTGCCGACTAATCTATTCCAGGGACATTTACCTGATATCACCCAGTGTTACAATTTAACATTTCATTATGTAATTGAAATTAATTTCGTATTCGTATTATTGTTATATGCCGCTGATCGGTACATTATATTATTGAAAGTCCGAAGTCTATTTTTTTCCTTGATAGCAATCATACTCTATATCAATTAATTTTTATTAACAGTGTCCCTTATATCATATACTACTATATTTGATTCCATTTTATGGAGTTTTATCCAAATTCGGTTTCTTGCAAGAAAATAAGCCATAAATAGTTAAAGGTTCTTTATTAAAGTCGAACTTGCATAAATACAAGATTTCTACAATTTGAGTTTTTTTACTTTTTTTTTTTAAAAAAAAAGATGGAGTTGATTCATTGTTTGATTCCATTATTTCTGGTTCTGACATTTTTTGGCCCAGGATTCCAAACAATATCTATATTTACGTGGATATGGTTTCCTTTGTCTGTATATTATTGCAGAACTGTCTCGATAAAATGGTTTATTCCATTTTATTTTGTAAACAGTTTGGGAACTATACTAGCATTTTTAGGGATGCTAAACACAGTTAATAACTATTATTGGTTATATGCTATAGTGCTTGGTTTTGTAACGAATCTTTTATCAATCATTAGTTTGGTTTTTGATAAATTGGCTCAACATGTATTCAAAGGATGGCCCAGATTCCTTGTTTTTCCCTGTGTTTGGACAGGTTTGTGAGTTTGTTTGTTCAGGACTGTTTTTTTTTTATAGAAAATTGCATAGCTTATCATTATTATCGTTATATTATGCAAACAGCCCTGTGGATGATATTCTCGTATAACCCTTTCGTGGGTGATATCACGAACTACGCGCAAGTATTTTAGTGGAATTATTGCAATATCTTACAGTGTTGACCTATAGCCCATTATATCTAGGGCTCTGCAAATGCCCATGCCAAATTTTTGTACCAGTGTCCATGTCCATGCCCATGCCTGAATTTTTGTTGGGCATGGGCACGGACCCGGGTTGCAGATCCCTAATTATAACCTATGGCCCATTATAACCTATTGGCTAATTACAGGTTATGACCAGTGTGTGAAATTCAATATTTTCATTGTTTTCTGAGAACACAAATTCTAGGTTACACTTATGTGATAACAGGTTTCCTGTAAAACATAAAATTAAATTCGAATTTCAAACATTGGTTGACTTTATGGCTTGTAAAATTTGTTATTTTACATTATGACCACCTTGGCATATAACCTCAAATGGCCAACATTGATTGATATCTTTGCTATTCTGTATTGCTGTATTGACGTTGGTATTTCTATTTTTAGATACACCTTTTTAGGATATAATGAAATGATGCAATTTGCATCCTTTGCTGGATTGGGTGGATTAAACTTTGTTTTGTCTTGGGGTGGAACTGTGGGTTCCTATGTAATTCAATCTTGGAAATCAACCAATTCCGGTAATAATCTTGACATTATACTTTTCTGCGATTAATCATTTTTGGAAACTGTAAGTGATGTTTCATCAATTTTAGGAAGTGATAGTGACGTCAAAAGCAATAGTGATGATCCAACTTTAGACAAAGGAGGAGTTACTCTGGAAATCCCAGAAAATGATGTTAATTCACCACAACAAAGTCGAAACTTTAGAAACATTATGACCACTCAATTAACCAATCCTATAACCATTTATCTTATTGCTATTTTTTTTATAATTGTTTATGGATCAATTCGATATTCAACAACATTCATTCCATTCTATCAACAAAATATTGAGTCATACGCTGCACATTCACTTGTCAAAGTCGGATGTGTTATTGGCTCTAACAATGATGTTGAAAATAAATACTATGTTGATCGAACGGAAGAATTAGCGCGAAATGGCAGCAAATTTATTTTATGGTCTGAAGAAGTAGCCATTGTTAATAGCACTGCCCAATATAATGATCTTGAGCTCAGTATAAAAAATATATCCCAAATTTACAAAACCTACATTGGATTCACTTATTATGATGCATCATCGACTAGTGGAATAGCATACAACAAATTAACTGTAGTATCACCAGATGGCGATATTTTGATTAATTATGCCAAAGCAAATTTAGTACCTTTGCTAGAAACTGGTCTAGCTGCTGGTCCTAAGATTTTGCAAACTAGTACTACTTCAGATTTCGGTACTATTGGAGGTGCAATTTGTTTTGACTATGATTTTCCAAACGTAGTTAACCAAGCATCAAATAATGTTGATTTCATGATACAGCCCTCAGATACTTGGGTAAGCTCATATAAAATATTTTAATTGATATTTAAAAGCATTTAATTTAACTTTCATTTCAATGCTTTGGCATTATATCAAGGGTAATTATTTTTGTACGTTCATAATTGTCTCATTTAAATTTCGTACATTTTTTAATTACATTGTTTTCTTCTTCAGGTCCAACTGCTGCTCATCATTTTCGTGTCAATTCGATAAAATCAATTGAACTTGGATTCACATTATTCCGATGCTGCCATTATGGATTCTCTGGAGTTTGGGGACCCTATGGTCAACCCTACGTGGCAGTAGAAACCGTGGAAGATTTAATATTATCATTTGACATACCTTTACATAAACGCGTTAAAACGGTTTATGGTATTTTTGGTGAATCTTGGGCGTGGATTTGTCTAGCATTTTCTATATTGATTTGTATTATCATGCTTGCATTAACCTTCTTACCAGCCCATATGGATCATCTTAGAAAACCTATTAAGAGGTTATTTCCGTGATTGTTAATGATCATATTCTGACTATAAAGTATCTGTTATCTACTATTATTTACATATAGTGAAGTATGATGCCATAATTCAAATTATGATATGTAGTAATGTAGTAATTATTTATTTTCGAGGATGATGCTAAAATTTTAACTTATTTTACTATGAAATTTTAAAAAATTTTTGGGGTGTTTTGGTCGTTTTTTTTTCATAGTTATGCTAGAATTTAGGGTTAGTGTTAATAATAGGTGAATTTTAGTAGGATTTATCCTTGACATTTATTACAAAAGTAGAAATGAGCATAGCGGACTTTTATTATGACGTTTACAAAATATTAATGTTAAGATTTTTTATATGAAGCTAAATTGTACCAAATTTTTTTATATTAGACTAAATTGGCCTTAATAAAACATTACTATGATATCTCACAATTCAGCAATTAAGAATAATTTTATACAATTTAGTTGGTAAAAATTTTCCATTTAATTTTATAAAGATGTCATGATGAAATTGTATTCAAAGTCTTTTTTAAAATTATTTACTTCTTTCATATAGTATATGTCCTTTCCACTATCATTATTAGATTCAGAAGAATCTAACTAATTTGAAAACCATCATTTTTTGAAAGTATCATATATATATCTTTAATTTAATTTTTTTGGATATGCATGATTCAGAAGAAGCATTGATTTTATTCTTTACCAATTTAGAGTTGTTGAATAATTTTTTTTTTAGTTGTATTCAATCTTAATAACCCATTATTGCAACATAAACAAAATGAAAAATTAAAAGAATCTTTTAGAAATATTGAATAATTATAATGCGATATTTTTTCTTGAACAAAAGAAAATTGATCTGTCAAATTGGGTGTAAAAATTCGGGTATACGCATATTTGACAACTTCAGTTCGATTGCCTCTATGAGTGGTTTTGTTTTGTATCTAGTGCATCCGCCATTAATATTAATACGAATATAAAACAAAATAATATACATTGCAATAATTTGTTTATATAGCGATAATAATAATAATTAGAAAAGGGCATCACGCACTTATCAGTCCGAGGTACTTTAATTGTTACATAACTAATGATATGAAATTACAACAGACGTCAATAATTATCTGTGTTGATTAAGCACCTCGCACTGATAAGTACGTGATGCCGTCTCTAATAATGATAAAAAAGTTTAATTATTAAATTTCCAATTTCTCGATTCCCCATATGGGTATATGTCACAAAAATCACCTGTTTACACCTTTTGAAAAAGGTTGTGACAATATCAAAAAAGGGTGTGGAAATATCAATTTCCTATTTATAACGTAAATTTATTAGATGAATAATATTTAGGTATAGTATTAAAAAGGCAGAAATTGGCGTAAAATGATTCTTATCTAAAGTTGAAATCCGAACCTGAGGCGGAGAGTTGATTCAGAAATCTGCGATCGAGAATTTAGAAAGATAGTGTCATGAACTGTAGAGAGAACAGGCATAATCAGTTTACTACTTATCATAAATTATGTGAATCTGAGATTCCTTTTAGGATACCGCGGCTTAAAGTTAAAATTTTGTTTAACATTGTTTTTTTTATATTTACAGGGAGAGGATGGGGAAATTTAGAAATAAACATATAATGTACTGAAACACCCGAATGTTCACCATGCCAACAATTATATCGATCAATTTTTTGTTAATTTGAGGAGAGCTTATCGTTATAGAATGGGAGGATAATGTTAAATGAAAATTCAACTTCGAGTGACCTTATCATTAATTTTGGCTAGCATTAAACCAAAATGTTAGAGCAAAATTTGCTGATAGTTTACCATTTGTTGGTAACTTATCAGATAATTTATAGACTATCCTTGGAAGAAATTACAGAATATAAGTATGGTAGAAGTGAGCAAATCACTGATATGAGAGTCGCAAAGCTAAAACCTGATTTTTCCGAGAAACGGGCTTATCAGACCCTGATCAACACACACCAATTAAATATTATATAGTATTATCAATATGTAAAGGCGGTGTTTAATTTATCAGGAGTCTGATCAGTCCGTTTCTGTAAAGTGAAATTTCTGAAGATCAAAATATGCATGTTTAGCTTTGCGGTACTCATATATAATCTAGCCCTTAGCGTTAGCGTTAGAACCGATTATAAATTGTGGCTGTGTAATAATAATATAAATGCAGGCCTTTGAAGACGTCCAATTGACATGTTGTCACGTCATGTACATCACGAATATACAAAAGGTGATAAAGATGGTCGCGTCAAATGAGTTTTTACAATCATTGTATTACTAAACATTGAAAAAACGAGAAAAAGATTATTCGTAACGGCAGAAGTCGAATGTTACGACGTTACTACGCAGGTCAAATATTATGGTAGACAGTTACGGCTTTTTGACGTGTCATAATGTCATCCAATTGATATTATGACTTCTTCATAAGTCTTTATCTATACTCAGTGATTATATGCTGTACAAAAATAATCTTGACGAAAGATCTCTTGTGATCTGGTGATCTGAATTGGAAGAGCTATTCGATTCGTCTCATCGAGACGAATCGAATGGTATAAAAATTGTTCGATTCTAATCATTAGATTACGAGATATCAATTCGTCAAATTATCCTTTTCTACCTTGACTCCATTTTAAAGACGTGTCGACTAGTGCAAAAAGTTTGGCATGATATGTATAAGATATTGGTCATGCGATGATAAATATCATGAAATTTGTTTTGTCGGAGCAAATGATCGGCTGACATGTGCCACGTAGCGGCACGTTTCAGCCAATCGTTTGCCCCAACAGAACAAATTTTATGATATTTATCATCGCATGATCCAATATCGATGTTATCGTGCAATTATGATCATGATTTACGAGTCGTTGGCTAACTGAGTTTTAATTTGGGAAATTTCCGATTATCAAAAAATTACGCATTTATTACAGATTTCCAGAATTTTCAAATCCAGTGCTAATCGGACATTCAATTTTTACTAATCAGAATTTCCCGATTCTTCGATTTCCCACACAGGTGGAAATCGTTGTTCACACCTTTTTGAAAACAACCGTATTATTGGAATTTGACCCCAAATCTAATTAAATTTAGGGAATGTAAAATTCCGAAAATTCGCCGTATTGCTGTTAATTTACTTGAATTTAAGAACCGTCAGTATAAGTGACTCATTGCACACTTTTATTTATGATAGTGATAATCTACCGCATTTTCTAATGGATTTAACAGTTGTGTTATTTTGGGATGTGATTCAAATTAAAGCACCGACATTAATATTAATTGTCCTGCTTATGATAAATACCAGTTAAAGATAAAAAAAACAAGATACTAATGTAAAAAAAAAAAAAAATAAAAAATAAAAAATGTTAAGTGGGATTGACCTAACGAACCGATAATTTAAAAACAAATGCCAAATCCGACAGTGTGTATCTAGAACTTATAATATTAATTATCTTTCGCCAATATAGCCATCCTATGAAAATAAATACTAAATAAGTATTCAATTAAAGAAATAAATGCTCGATGAATAAACATTATCAATAGCCAACCTTTTCGAGCAATAGAACAATTTGATGACAAATTTCGTTTACATTTTGTTTACTTAGATCAACGACAATGTCCGCATCTGTAGGTTTTTCATAAGGATCATCGACGCCTGTAAACCCTTTAATCTCACCAGATTGTGCTTTCTATATCAAAAACAAGTATTTCCGTGTTACAAATTATAGAGAACAAGAAATCATTAATTGCTCGAACTAAAAAAAAACATGTATAGATGGCATTTAGGAAGGCATACCTTGTAAATTCCTTTTCTATCAGTTTGAATACAATATTCTAGGGGGGTATTAACATGAATTAAATAGAAGCCACCATATGCTTCAACTAGTGATCTTGCATGATTACGTGCTTCTGCATACGGTGCAATTGGGGCAGCAATAACTGCAGCACCCGCTTTCGTGAGTTCTGCAGATACAAACCCTATACGAGCAATATTTATGTCACGATCTTTTCGAGAAAAGCCCAATTCTGAAAAAAAAAATTTCAAATTTAATTATCAAAATTATGTACAACACTATATTTATAAAACATTTGATTACCGGATGAAAGTTCATGGCGTACGATTTCACCCAACAACAAACTAACTGATCTTCCACCTTGTTGATTAAGTACAACTTGCAAAGCTCGGCTAATAGGATCTTTGCCAGAATTATAATACCCCGTTAAGAACAAGGTAAAACCTTGTTTTGACTTCGGTGGAAACGTGTCTCGAAGTACTTTAACCACCTCAGGATATGAAAACCATTCAGGTATATGTGCTCCTGCTCTCAGACGCCTTCTTAGCTCAGTACCTGAGATATTTAATGTCTGTGTACCCTCTGGTACTTCATCAATCGCCATATATTCATCTGAATCAGGAATATAAGTCATCATTTGGAATGGAACAACCTCAATTTTTAGCTCATCCTTATATTTTGCTACGAGCTCCTATGTCATATAATGATGCAGTAATAATTTAATTTAATGATTTTTTACAGAATAATAAATCATAACTAATACGATAATGGTATATACAATATTTTTACCTGTGCTTCATAAGGTCCGTAAAAATCTTTACCTTTCGAATTCTTTCCAGGACCAGCATGATCTCTACCAATGATAAAGTGTGTAGCACCAAAATTTTTTCTAATAATAGCATGCCAAAGGGCTTCTCTTGGACCACCCATTCTCATAGCCAATGGCAATAAACTTAATGTTGCCATTCCATTGGGATATTTTGGCATTATGGCTTGATAAACACGCACTCTAGTGTAATGATCAACATCACCAGGTTTAGTTAGGCCGACTGCAGGGTGAATAAGAACATTCGCTTGTCTAATCCTTGCAGCCCTAACAGTTAGTTCACGATGCGCACGATGCATTGGGTTTCGCGTTTGAAACGCGACAACGCGAGACCAATTAAGTTTTTTGAAATGAGCACGAAGTTCAGCAGGCGTATCTATTTATAAATGTAACGTTAAACTTAGATATTGACTGATTAAACAATAAATATCTACATTTGTACATACATCGGTGTGCGACATAATCATAATGTATTGGTGCCTGAATTGCTTCAATATTGCCACCGATATAATATTCTTTTACTTGATTTTTAAGATAGTTGACACCAGGATGTATTTCGTCATTGTCGCCAAAAACTTTTATTGCTTCTTCAACTTTATCTGGTTGATAGATATCTTGAATTGTTAAAATAGCTAATGTTGAATCGTCTCGAAAATCACGCAATACTAAGCGTTTGCTTGGTGCAAGATCAAGAGTTTTTATATCTTTTTCAGTGACATCAAGTGTGATAGGCATTGACCATAGACACCCATTTTTAAGCCGAAGGTTACGCACGACACTGATTTAAAAAAAAATAGTAATAATAATAAAAGAATAAATATTTTTATCATGCAGAGTTTATTACTCTATTCAAAAAGAATAGTCGCGAATATACTTGAGTTCCATCTAATCATTCTAGAAAGTAATACTCAGAATTAGAGTTGTTAAGTGGTCTCGAATGTTTTTAATTCAGAAAATTTTATAATTCAATTAATGAATAACTTGGTCTGAGACCAGTCTTTCTTAAGTTCTAAGAATTAAAATTTTGAAATTCAAAAAAAAATTTATTACTTATTGTAATAAGTAACTTTTAATTAGAAATTTATTAATTTATTATAATCCATGGAACGTTAAAAAAAATAATCCATTTTTTATTTTCAATTTTATTAAATATGTGCATGTTCGCTCAAGAATTTTTATAGTAAAACAGAATCAAAAGGAAAAAAAACTTTGTATGGCCCAAGATTACATTTAAAAAATTTAAGACCATTTAAGACTATTTAACATCTCTATCCTAAATTTAATAACCAACCTTAAGTAATCATCTTGGTTCATGAATCCTTCCAAGGGAGAAAATCCCCCATTCATGATAAGTTCCAAGTCACATAATTGACGGTCTGTCAATACTATCGAAGGCAAAGATTCTGCTTCGATTCGTAACGATTCATTCTTGTGAGCATCCCGAGCATGCGCATCTTTAAGAACATTACCATGGGGAATGTTAGCCATCGCCAAACAGAAAAAAAAATTTGTATAACGATAACGATAAAAATTAGTGAAGATCGTTTTTAATAACGACAGAACGATAATAGATAACGACATTTTTATCCAATAAGAAAAATTTTTATCGTTATTCCTGCATGTAGAGATTTGACCTGTTGATCTGCAATCTGCTTTTTGTGCGATCTGTAGCAATCTACATAGCGAATCGATCTATTGCCACAATAAGAAATTTTAATTTTGTTATTGCTAATAAAATAATATGAAAAATTATTAAAGTAATAAAATTATTTTAATACGTAGTGAAGGTTAAAATTTAAAATCATCTAATACTAATAAATTTTCTGTACAAATTAATTTGCTTTTACTTAAGTATCTATAAATGATTCTTCAACATGTTTGAGTATATTGTGTTTGAGATGTCAAAATCTCATTGTTGTTTTGGCATTTTTAAAATTTTCAGAGTTCATCTGCAGATGGGCGGTCTTTGGATCTTTATTTTTTCATCAATTTTACGTAGAATTATGATGCCTCATTGCTAATCGGTGGTCTGAAGCTATCAATTATTCTTAAAAGTTAAGCCAATTTCTCATAATATAGATTTAGCATGTAACAAAAAAATCAATATTATACGCAATGGTATAATGAATATTTCATAATTGTATACTATTTAATAATTTTTGTAAAACTTCTAATCAATGATAAAACCTCAAACTTTACAATAGTATTTAATTAATCAAATTTTTTTTAGAATTTAAAAAATTGTAGCAGGCAATAATTACAATCTTAAAAACTATATATTTCCTAGATAACGTCTATCTATTGATTAAATGATGTATTATTTTAGACACTCCTTTGATACATTATTTCGAAATAAGATTGTTTTTGAATCTGTTATTTTTCCCAAAATAAATTAGATATATATTTTAATTTAGGATGTTTATAAACACTAATTTGAGATATAAATTATTTTTAAAGAACCCAAATTTTCAAATGGCATTAATAAATGTTTTTATACGCACATATAATGTCAAAGGCCCAAGAAACCTGCAATATGGTACACGAACGTCCTACAAACGTTACGCAAAGAATCGTCATACAGCGATGCCCCAGGGCCACGAAAGGCCGTAAATGTATGCGCAAAGCCTCCATTGAACGATTACGCCGGATCTTGGACCAAGCCTCCTTCCCGATTTGGCTTGACATCTGTACCTGGTCAGGATTAGTGTGTGGCCATGGTATATGTTCTCGATTGAGTCGATGGGTGAGAAATACTAAAATAACGAGAATGGTGTAGACAATTCTTCGATTCTGGTCTTCTTATTTTCCCTGTTAAAAATGTATAAAAGGCCTTGGTATTGTAAGAATAATCTTGACCCCAAAAGAAAGTAATGATAAATAAGAGACCCACTTTGCTTCTATAAAGTTCTCTTTGAAAATTGTAACGCATAATCGTACCCGCTTAACTTACTCAACTATCGCCTTAGACTGCTAAATCGTTCCCGCCTCTGAATCGTTGAGTAACGCCTTTCTTTTGTTGTGTGTGTGTTGTTCATATTACCTCTGACAATAATAACCATTTATCCTAAAATAATTATATATTTTTAGAATTTTTTTTTAAATAAAAAAATAAATTTATATTATAAAATAGGTAAAATCCAAATAGGACTTTCATGTACTATATATTGTGAACTTTCGAAAAACTGCGACTCAGTCGCTCCACAATCCAAAATCTCGCGTAACCAACGATAGATAACCTTACGAAAGAGGGTGTCAGACTTGGCTGGTGGGTGATTAAGGCTTTGCTTACTTGGGTCAGGTAGGTAAGTCACGTGATAAAAAACTCGAACGAACAAGGACTTTATGGGGTTTATAGGGCTTACAATGAGTAATAGTGTTAGTGCAATTATTATGGACAATGAATATGATTGGGACTTAATATTAATAAAGCAAGCGAGATCTAATCCCTTAGGGGCCATTTTGGCCTTTATTTTATATGGGCTAGGTGTTGAGAAAAGGGACGAAATTGACAAAAAAAAAAGATCTTTGGAAAATCAATTTTTATATAATAAATCTTATCCCTTAAACTGTTTTCCAGGCAAATTTTCCTGGATTTTTTAATTAAAGTTAGTATTTTTTAAATAGTACAATAAATTATTAATAAAGTAATAAGAAATTTTTAAGCAATAAAATTTTAAAGATTTTGTTTAAAAATTTTTATTATAAAAATTTAAACTTTTCAAAATTTTATATATTTCTGAAATTAAAAAAAAATGTTATTCTTAATACAAGTTTAAATTATTATAAGTACAGTATAACCTCGATATAACAATAACGAAGATTATTTCTAATTTTTATGTTTAAATTAGCCCTGATATAACGAAACTACTAATAAGTTTTGATGTAATGAAGCAAAACCTCCAACTTCAGAGTTTTGTTATATTGAAGTTATACTGTAAATTAAAAAAGTTGTATTAATAAAAGTTGTTATCCTTTATATAAGTTATAATATTGTATTAAAAATTATAAGTTAAAATTAATATTTAAAGAGTTTGTTAAAAATTAGTGAATAATTTTTTTGATTAAAAATTTTTTTAAAATTTGTCTATTTGTAGCTTACAAATAACTTAAACTTTTTTTCTTATAATATAAAATTAAAGATTATTATATTATAATTTTTACTTTTAAATATTGTCAAACAAAATTTTATTTGAATATTTTAAATTTTAAAAAATATAGATCATATAGTTTAAAAAATAATAAATTATAAGAAAATACAAAATTTAAGAAATTATATGATAAAATTTTATTAATATAATTACTTTTAAATCTTAAGTAAAAAATGATTTTAATTTTATTTTAAATTAATTTCTATAAAAAATAGGTTTTAAAAAAATTATAATTTTATTTCTTTTTTTAACATCCAGTCTATATTATCTTTTTTTTTATATTAAGATAATTTTTTTGGTCTTCTGACTTTTATTAATAATTTTTTTGATAATGTAATTCTATGAACTACTACAGAAGAGTATACAATTAATTATACATATAACTTTTTTATATTATCTATTTAAGAAGTTTGCTCAAAGGTTCCTTATCAATTGTCATATCTAACATTTTTGCTTGGATATTCCACTTTAAATTCTTTGAATCTGCAATTTGTGTTAATATTACTAGGTCATACCTAGATGTCTAGATCATTATCTCAATATTAAGACTATTTTATTCTCAAAGTAAACTTTTCAGAGTTTTTTATACCTATTTTTATAACTAATTTAATATTATTATAGTAGAACTAATATTTGCAATTAGGACTTAATTGTTAAACTATTATGCTCTTATAGAGTTTATATAAATTTCAGTATCTACTTTATAGCAAATCCAAAAATACTTGAGTATATTCTTACCTTTTTACCAAATCTCAATCCAAATAGTCTATATAGAATTATAATCAATTTATTAATATATCAGATTAGCTCAATATCTTTTTCTTTTAGTTTGTTCAAATAGCATGTTTGGTAATATTAATTTGAAGGTTCTTACTTATTCAAGTATTACAATCTTGGTATTTATTTTATAAGAATAGTCTTTATAGTAAAGACTTCAAAGATTTAGTTATCTTTTTATTTAGGTTTTTTCAAATAAACTTCTTGTTATTTAATTTTAACAGATTTATATAGCTACAAGGACTTATCTAGTATTTGCATTATCTGATTATCTGTTTGTATTTCTTTGTACAATGTCAGACTTATACAGATGCTCTATAACTTGCCAGTCATATTGATATGATCACTATTATAAGTATCTTAACCTAATTATTAATAATAGTTACTATAATATAAGTATTATATAAATAATTATTCAAATTTTTTACTGCTGATAGGATTTGAATACATAATCTACTACTTAGAAAGTTAATAATCTGATTACTTTACTAGGTTGTCACATCCTTTTATTATCTAATTTTATCTTTTACAAATATAACTTTATATTTAATATTTAATAAACTTATATAAATTTATTTATAATTATTTTTTAAAAATATTTAATTTGTAATTACATTTTTTTCTTATTCTTATATATACTATTTTACAATTAAATATTGTTTTTAATTTAAAATATAATAAATTATACTTTATGTATTTTATATATTTTTTATATAATTAGATTATATTTTTAAAACTCACAATATGTACTCTTATTTTTTTTTTTTTTTTTGGTATTAAGGTGAGGCCTTGCTCATATCTTTATTAGTAATTTTAGTTGTACATATTAATA